TAAATCACTACTACGTTCACTTAATGTCGTCCACAATACTTCCCTTCGACTTTGTTTAGGAGCATTCCGATCCAGTCCGGTAGAAAGTATTCATGTAGAATGTTTCGAACCTTCGCTTCATCTAAGACGACAACAACTTCTACTGCTCTATTTCGCTAGAGTTTCAGCAAATCTCACAAATCCCACAAGAAACCTCATCTGTAATAGACAATTACCAGCTACTAATAATCCTAGAATGGTACCGTCCACTATACAGATGCTACTTCCTTATTCAGATATCAATCTGTTGTCGACCAGCCCTTTCACGGTCCCTCAAACCCCTCCATGGATATGTAAACTTCCAAATTTTAATATCGAATTATCCAAATATAATAAGAATGAAATATCACCTTCCATTATCAAACAAAGATTCTATGAAATAATACATCAATGCAACTTCGATAAGATCCTTTACTCAGACGCATCTAAGACTGAAGAAGGTGTTGGTTGTGCTGTTACAACGACTACAACCACCGTCAGCTTGTTTCGACTCTCCAGCAATTGCAGTATTTATACTGCTGAACTATATGGAATACTACAGGCGGTGAAATCTCCACTCAATGAAGTAAAAACTGTAGCAATCTGTACAGACTCTCTGTCCTCCATGCAGTCCATAAGAAACGTACATTCTATCCACCCAATAGTTCAAGAAATCCAGAGCATATGTAATCGTCTTCAAACTAATGGAGTAGCAGTAACGATATTGTGGGTCCCATCACACGTTGGTATTCCAGGTAACGAAAAAGCCGATCAAGCAGCAAAACAAGCATGTTCTCTTAACGTTACAACAGATATTCAAACATCATTAGATCTAAAAAGAACAATCAAACATAAAATAATGGACCTTTGGAATGATCAATGGAAAAAAAGCAATACCAAGTTAAGCGTTCTACAACCAAACATTTTCTACCACAAGCTCTCATCAATGAAAAGAAAGGACAAATCAATCATTCGAAGATTGAGAATAGGACACACACGCCTAACACATGGACACCTAATGAATTCCAGTAATCCGATTTTGTGCCAGTATTGCAACACCACGACTTCCGTAGCACATGTACTTCTTGACTGTCAACACTACCTAGCGGCCAGAAGAAAATTTAATCTTGGTAACAACCTAAAAGACATTCTTACTTCAAACGACAGTAACTACGAAAATATATTAAACTTTTTAAAAAACACAAAGTTATACAATTTAATTTAAAACAAAATGTATTAAAAAAGTGTATTGTAACTAATTTGTACTGCATGTAAAATATTAACCATGTAAATATAAATGTAAATTGTACCTGTGTCAATGACCATTGACAGCTGTCGAGACACATATGTTCGAAATAAAAAAAAAAAAAAAAAAAAATTACTAAATTCAAATACAAATCCAAACAAGGGTAAATTAATTTAAATATCTAAATTATATGCAATGTCTGTCCCATTAATAATTCATTATGTCATTTTAATTATCATTTTCCACTAGAATGATAAGTCTTCTATTAAGCAATACATATTTTTTTAAGGCTTTATTATTTTTGTTCCCCTCATCCGTAACGAAAAATGTCTAAACATATCTACTTTATTTTGCTCTGTTATCATCAAGGTTGATTAACTAAATAGAATATGATGAAAATCCAACACAGCAGATGTTGATAACACTACGCAGTTGATGACAGAATAAATCTAGGGTACTCGGTAGAAGAAATATAAGTTAATTTAGTGAACTTTTCAGAAGCAAAAACGATAAATAATTTTGTTGTGAAGCTAATTGATTGTCATACCTCCTAAATCGTAGTACACAGAGTTGTTATATTTACCTATTTTATTTTGTAAATAATAATCCTGTACAAAGTAGTTTTTTTTTAAATAAATGGAAATTGCAAAAAAATGTGGCTTATATTATTTGGACCACACGTACCGGACAACTTATAATATTTTGTTCAGTCCAAAAAAGTTGTTGCTTATTAAAAAATAAATAAATAAAACATATTTATGCAATATTTATTTAAAAAAAAACATAGGAATAATGTGTTAACACGGTTTTGGCAGACCAATGGCTACGTCCCCTAAATAAGAAAAGTATCGCGTCTCGACTCTGCATCAGATGTATCTTCATCATCTGGAATCACATCAGCAGCATCAGTTGTCTGTAATTTTTTATAAATATTGTGAAATGCTGGACTTATCAGAGGAAGAAGATCCAAAATATCCTTTTTCTTCTACATTGATATAGCAAGAGTGCTTTTATACAAATTGCTGTGTACCAACCTAGCATTAGTTTGTCCTCTATGTAGTACACTTAGCGTCAGAAATGCCTCTTTTTCATCAAGTGATGTTTTATAAATAATAATTCCCTTTTCTCCTGTAAAACGAAACCAGTTCACATAAAACCGATTAAAAGGATTTCGTCCTGTTTTTTTTACGCATTAGACAGCTACTTTTCAAAAGAGCTGAAACATTTAAGAAATCACCATGGTAAAGATCTACAACATTGAATTTCTTCTTTTTCCTGTACTTCTCACAAGCTCATACCCTTTGTGAGGATGGCTAATTGGAATATTTACCTTTTTTTGCTTTTGAATCAATCCATGATCAATATCGCACTCCATATGACTGCGTCTACTCACCATGAATTTATGGTCAATAACTTCTAAATTAGTGTTATTTTGCATTGCTACTAAAAACGTGATAGTAACATGTGAATTTTTGTTCTGATCACCGCATATATCCGAATATAGCTAATGGATTTTGACAAGAACTATGACCTTCTAAATAACAGGTAAACTTGTGTACTAAATCGGCGTGACTAATAGCTCATGCCGATTTAGCGTATATAGCTGTCAAAATCTATTACTTTTACAGGGTTACGTTCGAAACATGTGGTGATAGTGATAATAATTTTTTATAAATACATGTAGCTATATTGGTACCTCCCCTTTCTCCTTCACCTTCGTGCCACATGTAACATGCTACACTTCCTTCTTCATTCTCATGAATAGTTAGGTTATATGTCCATAAGTGTCTTTTGTAAAACGCAACCGAAAAATTTACGTATGAAGTTGGGAGACAGCTGCAAGTCAAAATTGAGGCTTCTAAAAGTACTATCAAATTTTGCTTTTTCTGTATCGTTGCTTTTCATAATATATGCATTGTCTGCAGCAGTGTGATGAATACTTTTCTCTTTTGTTATTTTAGTTTTATTATCTTCGCTTTCAGTAACTTTGAGTTTATTACTCAGTACATCACATTTATGGCACGTATCTACTTTAGGGTTTTTAAATGAAATGTTCATTTTGTGGAACTCTATTTCATAGATAAGTTTAGAGACAGGTGATTTATTTTCTTTACAGTATAATTTGTACATTTTCTGAAGAATAAGACGACATGGCAAATATAATTTACTACTTTCTCGTCGAGTATAATGAGATTCACTTTATGTGGGACTTCACTGCATTAATAGTTTCTTTATTATGCTTGTTAGCAGAAGGATCACGACCTCGCCGCTCGTCATCAGTTCTTCTCCCTGAAGATTGAATTCCTATTTGTAAGAGCCAGTGTAATAAACATATTTGTCTCATCAAATGTGTTCATAAAACATTTTTTACCAACTTGAATTCTAGCGTCATTCACCTTTAAATGAAAAACATGAGTCACTTTGCGAACTTTTTCTTTATTTGGATCTAAAGTCATTTTTCAAGTGGTTTTAGGTGGTTCGGAGTTAATACGACTTTATTCGTTATACAAGGAAAGTATTTTTAGTTTGTTTCATAGCACCAATATTTGGATTGAAAATTTGTACATACACGATACACCCTACCTACGTAGGTAGGGCGTACCGTAGCATATATAGATATTAGCTTTCTGCACAATATAGGTACATTATTTTAGTCAAGGTTTGGGTTAGGTTTAGTTAGGTTCTTCTCTACAATATCAATAAAAAAACTCATAGTTATTCAAAATTGCGAGTTTATTTGTTGTTACAAACCAAAAGAGTTACATATGGTGTTAAACTTAACTAAGGAGTGGCTTTGGATGTTGAAGCGTGGCACTGCATGTCCTCAGCATACTTTTCATAAGATGGTACGTAACCTCTGAGTGGTAATCGCAAGCATGATGTCATATGATCGTCAGTTAGTCGATTGCGATATTTTGACTTAATTATCTTCATTTCAGAAAATGCAGACTCGCACAAGTAAATTGACCCAAAAAATGCCGTCAGTTGAAGGGCGATTTGCCTTACATTCGAAAATTTATCTTCAGATATAAAACGCCAGAAATTTGTATCAGATACTGTAGCTTTGAGATGTATATCTGATATAATCTGCACCAACTCATTTTCAACAGAACATGAGTTCATATTAAACTGACTTGCTATTTCAGTAGCTAATTCCTCAATGTTTTTACATGAAAAAGGATCTCATAAATGATGCTATATTTTCCAATTTACTGCAATCATAAAAACGCATTTCGAATTGTCCCAAAATATTTGATAATTCAGCCTCATACGTATCATAATTCAACTGAGGAATCCTTGCTTTCAAAGACGGAAAATGTTTCAGATCCTTTCTTTTCAGTTGATCTATCATAAGTTGCAATTTACTTTTGAATGCCTTTACTGCGCTAATCATCTCAATAATAGTTTTTCCTTTACCTTGAAGCTCCAAGTTAACGGTGTTTAAGTGCATTGTGATGTCAGTCAAAAATGCCAAATCATTTAGCCATTTTTCGTTTTTCAAAATCTGAGTGTCATCACCTCTTTCGTCTAGAAAAGCTGTTATTTCGAGCAATAATTCTTGAAACCTTTCTAGGAATTTTCGGCGACTCAACCACCCGGTCCGTGTGAAGAACTAAATCAGTGTGTTCAGCTGATTCCCTATCTTCCAACTGCAACTGAAAGAGCCGCCGTTGCAAGCTACGTGCACGGATGGAATTCACAATTTTTGTTGCAATGCCCATAATTTCCTCCGTGTTTAAAACTTTTGAACACAAAACTCATTGATGTATAATGCAATGGAATGAAAAAAATGAAGGGAATTCTTCATTAGATTGACACAATGCCACAAAACTGTTTTTGTTTCCAGTCATTGCTGGTGCTCCATCGGTTGTAATACACATTAATTTATATATTGGTAGCTCATAGTTTTTTACAAAATTTAAGAAAACGTCATATATATCTTCCCCACGGGTCTTCCCGTTCAGAGGAATGATTGTCAAAAATTCTTCCTTAGCCAACATGTCATTAAATACCATCCGAATAAAATATGTTTGTCATATCGATTATATAAAAATGTGTCTGTCATATCGATGAATTCGTCGAACTGTAAAGAAAAGTATTTACATTCCATGATATCATGTTTTAGTTTATCTGCGATGTCTTGACTCATGACTTCAATACGCCTTCTGACAGTCGGACGAGATAACTGAAGTTCTCTAATAATAGACATGATTTCTGTTTTATTTTTAAAATCTCCAAATAAAGTTTCACCCGCTTCAATAAATGCTTCCTTCACCACCGATCCATCTTCAAATGGTTTCTTGTGTTTCGCTAAAATTTGAGATATTTTAAATGACGCGATCGTAGCAGCTTTTGATTGTTTGGCTGGTCTTGTGAATATGGATTGTTCTTTTTTCAAACAAAATATCAAATCACTTACTTTTCGTTTTCTTAATTCACTCTGGCAGAAAATCCTTTTCATAGTTTTTATGAACCGTTTTATGATACCTCTTTAAGTTACCACGCTTAGGTAACTGACGCGCAACTGACACACGACAAATAACACAAATGCACTTATCCTTCAACATAGGAAAGAAAAATTCTTTTGCCACCTTTTGCCGCAAGCAGTGTTATTTTATTACGTAATACATTTTTGTAGTTGATAGAATATCATCCCAAATTTGATTAATAATTATAATTATTATTGAATTAATAAAATAATTAGTTAATATATGTAAATATAAAATATGCTGTGTGGACAGTATTTTGTTGTCCCCACTTCTTTGAATTGCAATGATGCTTAGTCAAGCATTCTATGTATTTGTATAGTTCAGTATTAATAAAAACGTTTAACTCGCTGACTGCTGACAGTAGTTTAGTTACCTATCTACTCATTAAATTTGTTTTTCTCGAGATCTACCCAAAAAGCACTCGCGATCGACCAGTCGATCGCGATCGACCGTTTGAGCACCCCTGACATAGAGCAAGCCTACAGAAGATGTTGCAGAAATTATTGTGCTACGTGACATGAACGCAAGACTAGAATAAAAGCGAGTTTTCGTCACCCCTATAGGAAGCTATAGTTTGCATTATGCTATTTGTTTGGGAAAGTATGTAGTATTTATTTTCATATTTTATACTGTATATATTATTATACTGTACTATTATACTGTACTATAATGCGATCTAATTTAATTGTATATTCTAACGGCTTTGGCTTAAACACATTTAGTCTGTTCAGACAATTTGACTTTCTTTTGTTATTTTTGAAAAGTATTTCAAAGCGCCCTACAATAGGTTCGGTGCGGTCGAAAGGTTCTTCCTGACCATCTAAAAGACACTTTCACTTCATTACCGAAACAGCGAAGCACGGGACGTCCTTTCTTCTGTGCCTCTGCTTTTATTCTTCTTCCTGCTACGAATACATTAATATTTATTATTATACAATAAAATCAATATACAGAAAATAGTATGAGCTATAGCTAGTCACTGGAATTTCTAGAACCATAACTAGGGGTAGACCTGGACTTCACTCTCTGTGCAACGAACACACAAACAAATCTATCTCCATACTGCCAGAAGCCTTGGATGATAACCAGGGAGAAACAAAACGAGGATGGAAACGACGATTCTTCCAATTCTCACTCAAAACATTAACTGAACCATTAACTTCACATTGCTACACATTTTCTATGGAAGGGGGCAAAAGTAGCAAATTTTACAAATTTAACATGAATTTTGACATAACGCTGAACCGCTCTTGATCACAGCTCCAACGAGAGTAATCTCATTATCTACTACTACTACTACTACTATCGCTTTACAGCGTTCTCAGCGTTCTCAGCTATTCAAGCATAGGCCTGAAGGGGTTTCTCTTTCCTCTAGTTCTTTTTCAATTTCCTCTCTCCAGCTTCTTGTCGGTCTTCCTCTTTTTCTTCTCCCTTGTGGTGTCCACGTCAAAATCTGTTTTGGAATCCTGTCATCTGGCATTCTCTGTACATGGCCATGTAAAGAGTAATCTCATTATGCTTAAAATTAATTCATATAAGATAGAATAAACAAAGCACTTGAAATAAACAAAACACAACGAAAATAAGGACGTAGATTATTAATTTTGAAAACGTAGTACATCGGGCGGCTTGAATCAAAGAATTATCGACTGGAAAATACGCAGCCACGAAATAAATAAACAACTCTAAAATGGTTTTTATTACTTGGCGACGCTGAAAAGAACGAAATATTATTTGGATTTTAAATTGAAAGATACGAACTCAGCAACATGGGAAAAGAATCTTCGTTATTTTAATACATATATTACAGAATTACAATTTAATACATATACGAGGGGATTTCAATATATTTCAAAGAATTTATATATCAAACGATTTGTAAATGCTACAGTTTTGAATCATGTACATACATCCTTGGGCCAGCACATTGAAGCCGACTAAAGCATCTCTCGTGCCGATACCATTTCTAAAGCCAAATTGTGTACCAATAAACTGCGTTAGGCTTTTACGGCCATCGTCTAACTTGTTAAACTGTTTGTTCGGGCTGTTAGGCCGTTGTCTTCAGAGATTAGTTCTCGACGTTTCGCCAACACTAAAGAAATATATATTGAGGAGTAACAGGTAAAGAAATCATTAAGGAAATTACAAAACAGAAAATCACCAGGAGAGGACACAATACCGAACGAACTTCTAAACTACAGAAGACTAGATCTGACCAAACAACTACCAAAACTAATACAAAAAATAATAGAACAAACAGAATTCCTTAAAAATGAAGATCATGCATTTTAATGCCTCTCTTTAAAATGGGAGACAAATTGGACCGGGAAAATTACAGAGGAATTTATTTATTAAACACAACACTAAAATGTAAAATAAAAGTGATAACAGATAAACTGAATGAAATTATAACACTAGCAGAAGAACAACAAGGTTTTACGTAGGGAAGATCATGCACTGACATTTATAATGAGGCAAGTGCAAGAGAAATCATTAAAATACAACAAACCGGCATATCTATTTTTATCTACCGTTTCGCAGACCTTAAGAATGCATTTGACGATATCGGCTCAAATTAAAGGACGTTATCCAGTTATTATATAAAGCGGCCGGTGAGGACAAAATACTGGCGGAACTGCTAAAAGAAGGAGGAGACACGATAAAAAAAATGCTAAAAATACTGTTCAGCAAATGTCTGTTTGAAGGTAAAATACCTAAGCAATGGAGAAATGCCAACACAATCTTAATACATAAGAAAGGAGACCGAACAGACCTAAACAACTACCGTCCTATTTCCCTTTTGTCACAACTATATAAAACCTTCACAAGAATAATAAACAACCGACTAACCTATGTATAAACTTGATAACTACCAACCAGTGAAACAGGCCGGATTCAGGAAAGGATACAGCACAATCGACCATCTACATGCGCTTAAAATCTTAATTGAGAAAACCAATGAATACAATCTTCCGCTGTACTTAGCATTCGTAGATTATGAAAAGGCTTGCGACAGCATTGAACACTGGGCGGTTGAAGAAGCTCTGGTCAATAGTAGAATAGACGCAAGATACCGACAATTGATACATGATATTTACCAAAACGCAACCATGACCGTAATTCTGGACGACAAATTAATAACGGATAATATAAAAGTTAAACGAGGAGTCCGACAAGGCGATATAATTTCACCTAAATTGTTTACCTTGACCCTCGAAGACATAATAAAATCAACATCAATATAAAAGTTAAACGAGGAGTCCGACAAGGCGATATAATTTCACCTAAACTGCTTACCTTGACCCTCGAAGACATAATAAAATCAACAGATTGGGAAAACGGAGGAATATGTATTAACGGAAAATACCTAAATCACCTTAGATATGCGGATGCGAATGCAAAAAGGCCTAAAAATTAACTTCAACAAAACAAAAGTAATGACAAAACACCGAAGACCAAGAGGCAATAAAAATAAAAACAGAAAAAATAGAACAGGTAAATGAGTATATCTATCTAGGACAAGCAATCAGAGCTAACAGAGAAAATCAAACAGCCGAAATATCGAGACGAGTAAGAATGAGTAACTCCTGCATAATACCGATGCTCACCTACGGAGCACAGACATGGACATTTACACAGGCCAATTTGGATAGGATAAGGAAGGCACAAAGAGCGATGGAGAGACAAATGTTGGGTGTATTACTTAGAGATAGAAAACGTAACCAGTGGATCAGAACCAGAACAAAGACAGTAGACGCGATAGAACAAGCAGCAAAACTAAAATGGAAATGGGCCGGACACAATGAACGTCTCCAAGACGGACGATGGAACAATGCCATCGGAAAGTGGCGTCCATACAATGCAAAGGGATCAAGAGGCAGACCACAGATGAGGTGGAAAGATGACATCAGGAAACAAGGAAGTCCCACATGGCAGAGAACAGCTCAAGATGGGGAAAGATGGAGAGAACTGGGGGAGACCTATATCCAAAAATGGAAGGATAGAGAATAGGTTACAAAAAATCCAGTTATTTTGAGCAGGAGAGACACCTTTAAGAATAATCAAAACGATCGAAAATATCTATCAAAACAACACGATAAAAGTAAAAGTAGAAGGAGAACTAACTGATCCTATTGAAACTGGCAATGGAATAAGACACGGATATTATCTGAGTCGTTTATTGTTCAATGATTATGACTGAAATAATAAAAAAAGTGAAAACTTAAAGAAGTTACCAAATAGTAGCAAAACAAATTAAAATAATCTGCTATGCAGACGACGTTATACTACTCGTTTAAAGTGAAGATGAGTTACAACGTATGCTGCACCAATTTACTATTACCGCCAGAAAATTTAACATGTTAATTTTCCCAAATACACAAAATGCATGAATATAACAGTAAATTAAATACGTTGTAAATTGGATCTGGAAGGTCAGGTAATCGAACAAGTGATGGAGTTTAAATATCTAGGCATCACACTATATAGCTGAGGAAAGCTCGAAACAGGAATAGATGATCAAGGAAATAGAGCAAACGAAACCACAGGTTGCCTGACTAAAACAATATGGAAAAATAAAATATCAGGAAAGAAATGAAAGGTAGAATTTACAATACAGTCATCACACCAATAATGACATACGTGGAAGAAACACGACCTGACACAGAAAGTACAAAAATAATTTTAGAAACGGCAGAGATAAAAACACAAAATTGATGGT